ATATATATATATATGTATATGTAAAAGTCATTTTTGAAAATAATCTTACTCGTTTTATTTTCTTATTAGGAGATACAACAATTTTTTTAATATTATTACACGTGTATTCGTACACGTTTTTTCTTTTTTTTCTTCTTTCTTTTTTTTTTCTTTTTTTTTTTTTTTTTTTATTGCGAAGCATAATATTTCAAATTCTAAAGAGAACAAATATTTCTGATACATTTTACATTGTATATATACATATATATGATTATTTCTTAATAATATTTCAAACATTAACTTGATTATTTTATATAAATACTGTACATAATTACTGTCATACAATGTATCATCCATTTATGAAACTTTAATCATCCAACAACATTCACTTTATTGAAAATATATTTGATCTAATTGAATTTTATTATTGAAAAAAAGAAAAAAAGAAAAAAAAAGAAAAAAAAACAATTACAATGAGTTGCGTATATTTTTAAATTAAGAAAGTTAAATAAAGAGTGACGCTGTTTCATAAAAGAACTCACATAAATTTAATTTAAATGAAAATGAAAAAAATTGTTCAGAGAGTATTTGTTTAAAAAAAAAAAAAAAAAAAAAATTAAAAAAAATAAATTGTATTCATTGTGAGACAGTGTCGCAATTTAACTTTTAAGGATACAGATATGGTACGTTAAACAATGGTAACACACACAAGTTATATAAACTTGTGTGCAAAAATTTGTTTAGTAAGTGATATTAAAATTAAAAAAAAAATAAAAAAAAATTAAAAAAAAAAACTTCCACATCTGTATAACCATACGTTAAGGTGTTTTAAGTAAATTCTTATGATATGTCCACAGAAAAAAAAAACTCGATACGATGGAAAAAAAGAGAAAGAAAAACCACATGTCAAAAGAAAAAAAAAAATTGGACAAAGATGGGCACAATTAAATTATATTTGTTTTTAGTATATCACGACATAAAATTAATACTGTAGATCTGCGACCATTCACAATTGTAGTTCAATCAAATTGCTGCTTCTACCATTCGTATTATTATATCATAATAATGGTAGAAATAAGTAATAGTATCAGTCTTGATTATTTTTAAAAAAAAAAGAAAAAAAAGATCAAAAAAAAAACAAACAAACTGATCATCACACGTAAATATTGCTAATTAAATTTCAAAGTAAAAAAAAAAGGTTACACATTGAAAAGATAGAACAAAAAAAAAAAGAATCAAATGGTATATAACATTCCCTGAAAAAAAAATATCGTGTTTGTATTAAAAAAAAAAAAAAAAAAAAAAAACAACAACAACAAATTACCTTATTATGTATAATCATTTACATTTCTCCTCCACATAACGCTAATTTTATTCATAATTTTACACACACACACACACAAAAGAAAAAAAAACGATTTATTAATATATTTCTTTACTTAATATTTACTTATCTTCTTCATTTAAAAAAAAAAAAAATGATAATTTAAAGAAAAAAAAAGTGGAATTATGCTAAAGCTTGTAATATATGTGAGTTTCTAATATAAATTAATTACAATTACGCAATATGAAACATGTAAAAGAAAAAAAGACAAAAAAATGTATTAAGAAAGGTGCAACATCAATATATATATATATATATATTGGATATACTAAGAAATTTCTTTTTTTTTTTTTTTTTTTTTTTTTTAAAGAAAAAAAAACAACATAAATACAACTCAATTTTAAAGATATGATTTAATTTAAATTTTTATTTAAATTGAACAAAAATATTTACCTTTATTTAAATATATAAATATTGTATTTAATAATAATAATAATAATATATATAAAAAGAATGATAAAATTTCTTTTTTTTTTTATGTATATAATATATACATATATATATATATATATTAAAATCTTAAAAAAAAAAATCTTTAAACAAATAATTTATTCTATTTTCAAATTGAACATCTAACTCTACTCTTTTAATATATATATTAAATTTTTTTCGTATAATACATAAAAAAAAAAAAAAAGTTATTGAATAAATTAAGATCAGGAAAAATTTACAAATTTTTAAATCTATACTTATGTAAAAGAAAAAGAAAATAGAATTTGCAAAAAGATAATAATATTATTTCATGTTATACATTTTATTATATTCATGTCGCTTATAAAAAATTGAACTTTTGAATTTGAAAAAAAAAAAAAAAAGAAAAGGTAACAATCGCATTTTTTACTTTTCAAGATGAGGCTTGACATTAAAAAAAAAAAAAAAAAAAATAAAAAAAAAACAAAAAATAAAAGGAAAAAGAATAGTATAATGTGTAATTATCAAAAAAATAAGAAAACTTTAACAAATACTGTTAATATTAAGACTGATACAGAAAAGTATATATATATATATATATGTATATATAAAAGAACAATTACAAGAACAATTTTTTCTCTTTATTTTTCATTTCAATATAATGCAAATATATAATTAATAAATTAAAGAATATTATTGAATTTTATTCGTGAACGTAAAAAAAAAAAAAAAAAAAAAAATTATCTTGTGAATATTTAAGCAATAGAAAAGAATAAATTGAACTACAATGTGAATGCTTAGGATAATACCCATACTACTATAATTTATAGTCAATTTTGTATGCATGATAAATGAAAGTTGGTTAAAACATTAAATCATTTTGGTTTGATCCTATTAACATATACATACACATATATATATATATATATACATATATATATATTTACAAAAAAAAAAAAGATCATGTATACAACTTTCATTTATTTACACAACTAACTATAAACTTTCAATTTTATCTTAAATATGTTGCTAATAATTTGTAAGATGATGTAAAATGAATTTTTGAGTCATTAACCCACTGTGCTATATTAGGAGGAGAGCTGATTTTTCAACATTTTAATGATCAAGCCAGATTATTTCGCTTCTTCCACGCTAAGTATTTTGCAGGTGCAGTGCGCAGCATCGGCATCAATTGAGTGATAACGATACAGATACAGATACAGATTTCATGAACATTTTTTTTACGTTCCATTAAAGAGAAAAAAAAAGAAAGAAAAAGAAAATAAGCAGCAAGAAAGAGAAAAAGAAAAAAAAAGGAATAATTAAGGCATATAAGTGTAAAAGAAAAAAAAAAATTAATGTAAAATGAAAAATGGGTGGTAAATAAAGATTTTCTCGGCTTATACCTCTTGAGCGAGTTTAAATTTAATATATTATATAATTTAATGAAATTTTTTTAATAATAAAGATAATAAACAACGCATTATATATTGGTATAGAGTAAGAAAAGAAAAAAAAAAAAAAAGAAAAAGAATACGTTAATAAAATTTCATAAAAATTTATATAAATTTATATAAATTTAATCAAATATTTATAATTAAATTTAATCAAATTTTAACAATAAAGATAATAATAAAGGTAAAATTTAACAATAAATTCAATAAACCAATATAATTGGTATAGAGTAAGAAAAAAAAAAAAAAAAGAAAAAGAATCTGTTAGAAGCCGACGCAGTTTGTTTATTAAAACTCAATATAACATTGAACACGAGGTTTCTTACATCTCGGATCCAACATTTAATGATATATATATGTCAGAAGAATAAATTTCGCTTAATATTAATTCATCGTCAAAGATTTTTTTTCTTGTCTTTTTTTTTTTTTTTTTTTTTTTTTTATATATAACAGACATAATTTAAACATTATTTCTCTCATTAAAAATTCTTTACTTCCATATAATAATCTCTGAAGGCATAAAAATGTACAGTTAATAATTATTAAAAATGACCTAAATGTGGTTATTAGCATTTCAACATTTACAAGATACAGCTATCAACAAAACGCGCGTTGAGGACCTGAACAACTAAATATATATTAATATATAATATAATGTCAAGTTTCTACGTATTTTAATACGTAAATTATTATACTCTCCCTTTTTCCCTTCTCCCACCCCTCTTACCCTTCATAAATCTATTATATATATATATGTATTCTTTACATATTACTATCAAAATTAGATTTGTTTAAAAAATAGAAATTAGATATCATTTTTTAATGCATTGCAAGTTACTAAAACAGTAAATTAGTTAATATTTGTTTTTTTTTTTTTTTTTGTAGCAACATTGAAATATTTCTAATTTCATTCTCTTTTTTTTTTGTTATTTATTTATAACAATATATATTTAAGCTTTTATTATAATCTATTGTATTTCATTCATTCATATCTACGATGATGATGATGATGATGATAATAATAATAATAATAATAATAATAATAATTAAAATCTAATATAAAGAATATAATATAATATTGAACGTAAAATATAACATATAAGAAAACAAATATATTCAATGCTACAACATAGCACCTCGTTAAAACGATTATACCATTACATTTACAATAGATATACGAAATGTTAGTAAATTAATTATTTTGTTAAATCACAGATTACGAATAAGATTAATTTAAAATCTTTCAGTTTTATTATATAAGTACTATTTGTTATGAGGCTAAATAGTTTTTTTTTTTTTTCGTTTTTTTTTTCTTCTTTTTAAACAGTATAATTGTCTTAGTGAAGTGAATTATTTCATCATTAGTCAAATGAAAAATTTGATCTGAAATAACTAAACTCGTGATTTTCAATCTCAGGCCCTCAATGTTAAATCAATGTGGTTAATAATAAATGAACTGAATTGTACTGTTTTGATTGCAATGCTTGCTCGATGAATATCATTTTTCCATACAGAAGTTTTCATTATTTGGTCTAACAAACAGAATATAAGAAGATTTTAATAAGATAATCATTGACTAGTATTATACTATCTGCATAGTACTTGATTCTCAATTTGGAAGGCAATGGTTGATGTTAACAAGAATTTGATTCCAGAGTTTCAAGAATTGATCGACACAGTGATCGCAAATTTGGATGACTTGTATTTTCCGTATGCGTTTGTTCCAGATATTTTAATGTTTCTACTCCACCTTCCCTGGTTAACATGCCACAATAACGTTTAGCTGAAAATATATGATAATATATTTGTTTAATCAAAATAATAAAATAGATGTTGAATGACAATAGTTTAATAAATAAAAAAAGAAATAATACTCACGATTTTTTGTGCACACATGATGTATCGCCCATACTGCCCAAAGCTGAACAGGATATGCATCTGAACAACGTAAAAGAGGGAAAAATGGCTGAAAACTTCTATAAGCGACCATCTCTCCTTGCGGAGTTCGCCATTGAGTAACGGCATGAGCTAATTGATCTAATAATTGTTCTCTAGTAGGATGCGAAAATACCAAACTCCAAGCTCTAGGACCATCGCTTAACAAATGTGCTGTGATACCAGCAGCAAAGTAAGACACATCGATGTTAACAGAATCTAATAGCAAGGAAAGCATCGATATGAAACGAGTTTGCATGAGTCGTGGCCGCAAATATACAACCTATAGAAAAAAAAAAGAATATACATAACAACAAATTATCATTGATTCATAAATAAACAAATAAAATCATTTAGTTTGTTTTTGTCCAAATACCAACCTCAGCTATGTTATTTAATAGACCAAGTACTTTAGTCTCCACGCTAGATTCACCTTGAAAACTTTCAAGTACTTGAAGAAACAATTCCATTCCTCCCTCGTCCAAAAAAACTTCGCACGTAGTGGCACTTTCGTCAGTTAAATTCCATAGGGCACTTAATGTGAATTTCATTGTAATATCAACTGATTTAGATTGAACTTTGGACTTGACCATTGTTAACAATTTAGACATATATTGCGGCTGGGCACCGAGCATAGACGTTTCTGCTGTTGATATTTTTGCTGCTAATATGGAGCAAATTGCTACTGACATTCGATTCATCGATGCATCGTCAAATGTCGATAAACAATTCATTACTAATCTTGCACACCTATTAGTGTCCATAATTGTATGAATTAAATTACTAGAATATCGTTAGATTTGTTATAATTCATCGTATATAAATATAACTTACCTGTATTTGTCAAATGTAACATCTTGTAGAATTCTGTCGCTACAGAGCGTTAATAATGTATTTTTTTGTAACTGATAATGAGATGGATACGATTCCATAGCAGTCAATGTTAAATCAACTATTTGTTTAAGAATTGATGGATGGATCATAACTGCTGATTCACCTTTTGTAAGATTGTAAAGGCACGCGGTTGCTGCCATTTGCACACGAAATTCTTGTGGATGTTCTCGCATTCCAGGCAGCACTAATTTGATTACATCAACGCGTGGTTCGAAAAAATTTGGAGTCAAACGAAATAGATTAAACAAACACTTTTGAATATAAACCGATCGATAAGTATACTTTCTTAATGCTTCTAAAATTTGAGATTCGGTTGCCGTACCACTGACCTGTATTAAAAAAAAAAAGATTATATTAATATTTATCAATATATGATTTCTTCCCTAAGAATTCACAAATGAACTTACGACAAGATCAGGTCTATAATCTTCATTTGCAGGATTGATTAAACTATCCTCGTAACAAGTATCAGAGTGGACAAGACCAAGAAATTTTAAATGAGGATGTTTTTTAATAAATTCTTTTAAATCTTTCGGATTTATTTCATCTTTACCTAGAAAACAAAAACAAATGTATAGACAAATATATATAATAAAAATATATATATATACAAATAAACATAACTTACCAGATAAATCCAAACTAGTTAAATGTGGCATACAATGTACAGCTTTGAGAAAATCTCCTATTTTTTGTTTCTTAGGCGCAAACATTTCAAAAGCATATGTATCTTTTTCATCAGAAATATCCAAATTTCTTAATTCATTTAATTCCAATAAAACAGGTATCAGATTTCCGCATCCACTTATTTTTATATTATACATAGTTAAAGTTTTTAAACGATCTTTACATTTTCTTAATGGCGATATATCATCAACTCTAGTACATGATATATCTAAATTTTCTAAGAGCGGAAGATCTTCGACCACTATTTCTAATCCATGCTTATTAAATTCTGTTCCTGAGACATTTAATGTATGCAGCGCACGTAATTTGCTCAATGTTACTACCACACAATATCTACAAAAAATAAATTCATTTTCATTTGGTAGTATAAATGTTTAAATAAAAAATAATTCACGTTAAATACAGACCTAGAACAATCCATAAAACTGCCTCTAGCTACACTCAGCGACCTAAGATTTTGTAAACTCCAATCACTCAAACAGCTGATCAGATCATTAACAGTGACCTTTAAACCATTTACTACCAAATCTACAATCTTATGTTGTTTAAGAACTTTTAAACCTTTTGCAGATAGAGTAGATGCATCTTTTAATTTGACATGCCTAAAATGATGATAAATCAACAAATAAGGTAATCCTTCTTCTTTTATATAGTTTTATATATTTTATTATATTACTTATATAACTTAGCTAGTTTGTGTATTATACCTTAATCTAGTTGATTTAGAATCAAAAAGTGTAATGGTCAAATCAGATAACGTTTTCTTCTCGCAAAGGCTAGACAATAATAGTTCTGAAATTGCAGTTGGTAAAAAGACATCAGGATGCTTGAAACTAAGTCTGGTAGCCAAACTGGGTGATACGTCATTGGACAATGTACGAACTGTCATTGACGTTTCTGAGCTACTTTTGCTCAATGGGCATCTAACTTGATCTGAAATATATTCTTCTTTTAATGAAATATATTATTTAGATGTATATACAAACATATGTATTACTTACCATAAGACGTAGGAGAAAATGATCCAGAGGAATGTTCATTCGTATCACCAGGATGTACTTCGCACAAAGCCAAGACATTGTCACAAATAAAATCTATGCAGACTTCTTGCAAACTTCTCGGTGACTCGAACATTTTATAATGTCAATATCATTCAACAAGTGTATATTTTATCAGTTATTTTGTTTTAACCTTTCAATATACCTTTATTCACTTGATTCTCTTTGGCTTATTATTTTCTCAATAGTTCAAGCTAAAGTTGCTTCAATATTTATTCGATAACAGATTTCCTCTTGTACATTGCCGACTTTTGACTAAGTACAAACGTACATCTGTGCAAGTGTTTTGCATTATAGACTAGCCAAGAAAACATTTAACATAAGAAAATAAGATTACTGTTGTGCTAAACACAAAAATGTAAGGTATACAACAACACAAAAAAAGAATCATACGAAGAGTCAAATAATAATGGAATAATGTCGACGTTATATTTTTCTATACAACCATTAAATAAAGAATGATTTTAAATAATTACATTACGTAATAAGATAATCCCACGTGTTTAAATAAATTCCAATTAAAACGCATATCCCAGTAGTATTGAAAATTATTGTAAAAGAAAAAAAAAAGAACTTGCCAGATTGTAAAGAGTTGAATAGCACGGTAAAACGAATATTCACAAATGTCTTTAAATAATATTATTTAAATGTGATATAATTTGCACTATTTTCTTACTTAGACGAGGCTCCACATAAGACAGTGTTATTAAAATAAGGGAGAAAAACGATGATCTCTCACCTGTATAGAGGCCGCCATATTGACTGATCAAATGTCAAAACTATGTAAAAAGCATTTATCCGCAGAAAAAAAGGAAAACAAATAATGTTTTTTTTTTTTTATTGACGTAATTAATTATGTATTTTTCTTGTATAAACAATGTCGATGATAAAAAAAAAAAAAAGATACAATATTGTAAGCTCGTTTAATTTCTATAGACTTTTAATCGAGAAACATCATCACATTCGATAAACTCGGTTGGAAATTTACTCGAATACTGCGCAAGTTTCTATAATAATTTGGTCATCCTCTTTCCCCAACACACCCCTCATCATCCCATCCTTTATTCGAATGAACTATTCTGATTTGACATTATTATCAAATATTTCTAAGGAACATATTTCTAAGAAATAGCTGACAATATTATCAAATTAAACAAATATAAAATAATATATTCGTAAGTCCCGCGAAATTTATTTACAATTTATTACTTATTTACACATTACCAATATGGCGCTTAAGCGTGGAAGACGTGCTTTTATGGTATACATTGTCATCTGATTCTTATTCAATTCTAGGTAAGATGTGCATTTTTTTTTTCTTATAGATCTATAGAATATATTTTTAATAGATATATACATATAAATATATATCTTAAAGTATCTCTCTCTCTCTCTAGTTATTTACATATCAAAGAATCTATTTGTCTTTGTTGTATTTTGACTGACAATGAATGAAGACAATGTGATTTGACAATGTGTATTTAAAATATTTTTAAGATATATATATATAAAGGAATAATTTCTACTTAAAAATTAAATGCTCAATTAAATCAACAATAAAAGCACAACATATATTCTTTGTTGATTGTGTGTGTGTGTGTGTTTCAGATTGAGAAAAACATTCCTCAAATTTGATAATTATGACTTGAATTTAAGGAAACAAGTGTTCAATTATTTTGCAAAGAATGCAAATGTAATATCTTCAATTGATAAGTGATAGAAAATAATAAGAAAAATGCCCAGTTTACGTAAGAAGGTAGCTGGCTTTATGCGTCAATTATCCATTAGTAATTTGGCTGGTGCTGTTGAAAATATGAGTTTAGCAGAACAACCTCTTCGTAGTCCAAGATCAGTAACACAAGATTTTCCAAGCGAATGTTTCATTACACGTTATCTCAATGGGTATAAATAAAGCTTTATTTCATATTGTTTATGGTACATTTGTATTGTGTGAAACGCAAGATACAATATTTTTCATAATGATTTACAGATTAGAAACAAAACAAGAAGGTCCACCTATCTTGCATGGAAGAAATCCAGAGGAATTGCCTGTTAAGCAACTTGGAAATTACCAGGATGATAAAGAAGTATTCGCTGCTTTAACAGGCCCCGATAGTGGACTAACAGCAGTTAATCTTCAAGAGAAACATCTAAGTATGAATGACATTGATATTGATTATATTGACATGCTGGATCAAAGTGATCAATATAGAACAGGTTGGAGAAATAAAATAATATGATATTTTATTATATAATTGTCATTTTGATTTAATATAATATTATTTTTTTTTAGGTTCTAATTCATCTTCTGTTGTAATTGCTGGAGCCCCTAATTGGTTTCTTCCTCATGAAATGGCTTATGGTATTGCTACAACGTTATATGAAAAAAATCCTATAAACAATGTTAACAATGGTGAACCAATAGCTGACTGTTTTGGCATTTCTGCAAGACAAAATTCAGCGATATTGGCCTTGGCCGATGGTGTTAATTGGGGTATAATAAATTTAGACATAAGAGAACAAAGTAACTTATATAGAATGCAATAGACTAGAGCAATTTGTTTCCTTGTAACGCATGTTTAGGTACAAAGGCAAGCATTGCAGCAAGATCTGCGGTGCATGGAAGCATGGAATACTTGAATAAAGCTCTTTTCTCACCTTCGATAAATAGCGCTATAACTACGACAAAAGATGTTTTTGTAGCCCTCCTACGTTCATTCCATGCAGCACATTCGTTAATACTTCAGGAACAAGGCATGCTCACAACATTGACCGTATGTGCGGTTCTACCCTTAGAGAGCACAACCACTACTTCTGGTATTCGCCATAACAAATATGTGGCTTGTACGTGCAATGTTGGCGATAGTTTAGCATATGTATATTCAAGGTAAAATATAATAGCAGATTATAAGAGTCCTTAGAATTTATTAAACGTAATGTAATATTTAGACTATATTATAACTAGACTGACACAAGAAAGATTTAGATATGTAGATTTAGTATGGTTTATAATATAAATTTGTATGCATACAAATTTGCTTAAAAAATTGTTTTAGGAAAACTGGTGTTAGAGAAATAACCCGTGGATCTCACGATATTCATTGCATGCGCGATATGCGTGATGCGTTAGGAGCTTTGGGACCAGTTGATGGATCTAATCCAGAATTAAATAATTTAACACTCGCCATAACGGAAGTTGAACTTGGTGATGTCGTATTCTTAACCAGTGATGGTATATCGGATAATTTTGATCCAGTAGTTGGAAAATTTGCAATTTTACCAAATCACAATGTTGCTTCCGATATAACAATATCAGTGAAAAGTAACAATGATGTAAGAACAAAAACAAGAAGAAAATCGGCTGAAAATTTACGGCACGCAGAGTCTAGTAATAGTAATGGAAATAGTAATAGTTTACCTGTGGTAGAAGCATATCAAAGACACGAGCTTACGCTCTTGAGAATGGAAGATTTATTACGAAGAGGAGTTTCCGGTGAAGGACCACCATGTAATAGCGCCAAACATCTTTGCGAACTTCTCTTAGATTTTGCAGTAAGTTTATTTGAATACTGCACAGTACTGTACATTTCTATACAGTTCTCTATGTAATTTTATACAATCCTATGTATACATAATACAAATAATTATATCTTTTATGTTATAAGGTACGCATTACAGCTGCCAAACGAAGAATATTAGAAGATACGGATTTGTATTATGCGCAACATAAAGATGGCCAATTAATGCAATTGTCAAAGCAAGAACAACGAAGTAGACGAAAAAAGACTCTAGATAAGATATCTATGATACCAGGAAAATTAGATCACGCTACGGTTGTAGCATATGTAGTTGGATCATACAATCCATCAGAATGCAATCTATAATCATTTGGAATATTAGAATATTATTGTTTATTTCATAAAAGAGAAAAGAGAGACAAATTTTTATAAAATGTCAAATATTTCTCTATTATACAATTTGACAGGATATCAAATTGAAAAGAAAAATTTTATTTAATATTTAAGTATTCATAAAAAGAGAAACTCTTAACATTTATTATAAGAAAAATTAATCAATGGAAATGTTTAATATTTTGTTTACAAAATTATACAAAATGTATTATATAATTTTTTTTATTTTTTTATTATTATTAAAAATTTATTAATTTAAGATACGTTCCAGTTATTCTCGTAATAAATATAGTAAGAGGAGAGAGAGAGAGAGAGAGAGAGAGTGTGTGTGTGGAAAAGAGAAAGAGATAGAGAGAGAGAGAAAAAGAAAGAAAGAAAGTATTATTTCAGATATTATGACAAAGTTCTTGCAACCAAAATGTAAATGTATGTTGTAAGAAAATTAACGAATCTTTATAATTAATCTCGAATATAGAAATAAAAAAAATGAACAAAGTATAAAAATAATTGTTATTCCTTAAAAACGTCTTTGGTTGTATAATGAATAAAACATTAATTTTATATATTTTATCATTTTATTAAGATGACGTTTAATTAATGTGTGCAAATAATCGTAAAATACGATACTTGTGATATTGATATTATACAAAATATATAAGAGACAAGTTTAAGATAAACACAAGTGCAATTTGAGCTAACAGCTCCTATATAATCAAAAGAAAAAGTTTGTTCTAATCTTATAGTTTTTCTTTCTCTTCTTACCTTTACCCAGTATTTTCTCTCTTTTTTATTTATTATTAAAAATACAATTTATTAAATTTAATTATTGAAAAAGTTTAATAATGTCATCTAGCTATTTTTTGTATTTGGGATAGTATTCATTCTGTGTGTATATTTATATTTATTATAAAATTTACATCATTTTTGGAAATACATGTATACAAAATGCTGGAGAAAAGTATAGTTGCATCCCCGTCGTAAGTGCTGTATCTCCTCTCGGAGATTTCTTTCTCTCCTGTTTGCATGCGAGGAAAACACTCTCGTGTATCGTAGTCCACTCTGGTAGCTTTGCTTTCTTCTTTCTGGCTGCACTCTGGCCGAAGAAGTTCCGCGCGAATTTTGTCCCACCACGGATATCAATGAGCTTGGCATCCTGTATATTTCGTCTGTCACTTTTGCAAGCTCTTCGAAAGAATCCGACTTGAAAACAAGCAGCAATCCCTTTGGGATGCTGCCTCCAGGGTGTCCATTCGTCTGACCTTGAACATTATCTCGTCGATGCTGCCGCCGGCGAGGTGTTTCATTTCGTGCAGTATTTGAGATTATTTTCGGTCTTCTGTCTCTACTCCGCTGTATAATGTTTGAAGGTGTTGCGCCGGTATTTATCCGAGTCTAGTGAGTACAAACGGGTCTTCAGATGCTCGTATTTACCTGTAAACATAGAGCTCTAGAGGAGGAGTTCCTCCGTTGTCTCTGGATCTAAGGCGGCCACCACGAGATTGTATTTTTCATCTCGTTCTCAGTGATGCTGTTACATGCGAAGATGGATCGGTGTGCAATCGGTTTTCCAAACCGAGGGCAACTTACAAGAGCGAGATGTACTTATTCAATTGTTAGCTAACTGTTGCTGTAGTCGGAGGAGAGCCTCGCATTGTGCAGCCAGGTCTTGTGGTGTACTTTGGTTCAGAACGCTGCTCGCCGGTTGTTGTTGGGGGAAGCGCAAAGATATGTCGTGCTTCCCATCGACAATCGTGTTTCTCGGCATGATCTCACTTTTTGCTAAATTCTCCTCTGAATCGCGGACGTATGCACGCGAAAAAAGCCTCTTTTTCAACTTAAGAAAACGCGACGTGATAAAAAAAAGGTTCCTATGTGACAAGAAAAGATGGCGTTTTGCGTGAATATGTGACACGAAAATGGTGTCTTGAGAGAATACGTAGCACGAAAATGGCGCCTTATGTGATACGTGGCACAAAAATGGCGACTTACGCGTAAGCCGGTTTTCTTCTTAACCGCGTTGCCGAAAAATAAATCACTTAAATCACGTTGGGGTCACCACTTTGAGACGTGTTCGGTATCTGTAAGATAATGGACTATACCAAGTGAATGGAAAAAAACTATTTTTATTTAGAGAATATTTCATAGTGCTTGGTTACGAGTAAGGATTCGAACTGAATGGTTGTGGCGAGCGATTGCTTCGGTCATCCGATGTGTAAAAGAACCTGAATTTACTAGTGTGAAAGAAGAGAAACAATGGCGCGTAAATGACCTGCTTCTGCTGATATTTGGCTGCCCTCTGACGTTACTAGCAGGAGATAGCTAGGACACCATTTTTGGTATTCGTACTGCCCTCTGATGTTACTAGCGAGAGGTAGCTGAGACGCCACTGACTGTTACTTAGGAGTCCTGCATCAAATTCCATACAGTCTAATAGAAACAGTCTAAGCCCGGTGGAGCATCGACTGAAAATAATAATTTTAATGTACAGATGCAAAGTCCTATGCAAAGTCCAATGAGCGTTAGCCAAATTCAAAATCCTGTACTTAGCCCATATCCTCCTGCTAAAAGTCCTCACATGTTAAGTAATAACTCGCTGAATAACAGAAGTCCAGTTATAGGGGGTAGTCCTGGTCCGCCATTGGTAAGACTTGTAAAACGAATGAAAGTAAACACCTTTGTCTTTAATTTGCCATTAAATTTATATATGTTGTAATTTAAGGTCAGACCAAATACACCCATCTTGCAACAGAGTATGCAAGTATTGCAGATAATTCATGGTACACCACAAGGATATCAGCAAACGCCTACGCAATTAGTAACAAGGACGCATCTGTTTGGAAATCATCAACAAATTCAAATAGCGGCTACTAAACCGGCCAAACAACCACCACAAATTTTGCCTAAGCCACCAAATCAACAAAATACTACTTCTCAACAAAAGCCTCAATGTGTAACAACAACTATTACGAACCAGGTACAAAAATTTGACACTAAGTAAATTATGGATTATCGTATCCAATGTATTTTTTCAACAGCCAATATAGATTGTAAATATTATTTCTTTATTTTGTTTGCTTAGGTCACGCAACAAACGCAACCACAGATTGTTCTTGCTGGTCCACAACCAAATCCTACAACTGCGACAATGATACCTACTGCTCAAGGTCTTTTATTGAACCAGGTTAGTAAAATTGTTATTTATATAATACTATCAGTTTGCACGTTCATTACTTTGTCATTCAATAATGCAAATATCACGGCAATGTGTAAATACTTGTAATATTTCAGTATGCTCTCTTTATATCTGTCATAATAGCTTGCGTGCATATATCTTATCACTAAAGATTGCTTCGTGCTTCACATTTATCACATTTGGTACATAGGTTCTACCATCAACTGGACCAGTTATTGTTCAACAACAACCAGGTGGTGTTCAACTTATACTAAGGACACCAGCAAGCGCCCAGCAACAAACCCATACTGCACAGGTGATGGTGTCATTCATACTGTCATGCATTATCATATTCCAAATTCATATTCATTGCTTGTTTAATTTTCAAATAACATAAGAAGTTACTCTTGATTTTTTATTTTATAAACTAAATATTGAAATTTAAATTTAACATTAAAATTTAAAATTAAAATTAAAATTAAAATTAAAATTGAATAAGCAGAATTTCAATAAGTCACGTTGACATTTCGAATATTATAAGTTGATCATTTTTAAATGACAAAAGTGATCAATATATATATATATATATATCAATATATAGAAAGACTTTTTGATACTAAAATTTGAAATAGTATTTCGGTTAAATACTCGTTAAAGTGATAAAATAGAATTGCATTTTTTTTAGAAGATTAGATGTAGCAAGATACAATTATATTTTACAGCTAATGCAACAACAACTGGTAAGAGTTGTCACAGCTCAAGGTATGCAACTGCAAGGAATTGCGCCTACATTTTTTGCCGTACCAAATGGCTTTCAACCGGCCGCATCACCAGTGATTAGACATACTCCCTCCAGCCCTGTTCCAGGTAATTGAATCGAAATCAAATTTGATTAATGCTTATACTTGAATTAAAATAATCATTTGTTATATTATTATATTATCTTTGCTTGTTTTTACAGCTAATACAGGTGCTAGCAATTCTATCGTAATTCAAAATGCTATGGTACAAAGTCCCCAACCACAACAAATAACGCAAGTTGGTACAGCTAATACATCTGGTAATACTACGTGTACTCAAAATATCGTTGAACACAATTTACTACCTCCGCCAAAGAAGAAAGCAAAGAAGAAGAAAAAAGCTAAAAGAAAAGACGATGAACCTCCAAAATTAGATTTGGCTAGCATTATAAAAATATCAGGAATTGGAGATGAAGATGATATGTTTGACTCTGATAAAACAGATGTGTCGTGTCCAGTTCAAGTAGAATCTAATATAGGACAAACTTTAACTCAAGTTACACCGCAAGTGACAGTAGCCAGTTCAATAGCTCAAAATCAAGCACAAGTACCTGTAGCGAATACAATGAATACGCAAGCCACTGTTGCTTCTCAAGGATTTAACAGTCAGCTTGTTGCTCAACTTCAAATGCCTGTACAGAATACGATATCAGGATTACGTCTGGCAGTTGGAGAAGACGGAAGGGTTGTCTTACATCATACTCCTGATCCAAATCAACCGGAATTAGATCAAGCTACTGCTCAAGCATTAATAAGATCTCTTACGCAAGGAAGCAGTCAAAATGCTCAGATTATGTCTCATTTGCTGGGTCAAGCACAGACCGTATCACAAAGTGTTCCAAGTAATGTGGTGCAAAGACAGAAATATGTGCAGTCACCTAGCAATCCAACATCTACCAATACTACGAGTTCAATATGTTCACAAAATGTTATTTGTACGACAAGTCCAGTGCAACATATGCAAACGTGCTCGAAAGTAAATAATCCACAAAAAATTGTAAATATTTCTCATGATGCCAATTCTACGTCAAATACTTGCGTGCAAAATAGTCAAGGATCGTTGCACACTGTAGATATGCAAATTTCTAAAAATGTTAACATACAACATCTTATACAAACACCGAAGAATATTCAATCATCAAATGCTAATATATCATCTAGTAATAGCATTTCAACATCTTCAGATGTTGTAACATCTAAACCTTTGTGTACAACCTTTAGTATACAAAGTTCTCGATTGTCAAATACAAATCAGACAAATATCAATCAACATTTGTCCAATATTCCAACACAAAAATCTAGTCAAGTGCGCCTTACGAATTGTATTAATTGTATTAATACTAATATACGTCAGAATTTGAATAAATCATCGCAACACAGTACTCACGTTCAAAAATCTATATCTAACAATGCAGGAGTATCAAGTGAACATATTGTCAAAAGCAATCAGAATCAACAATCGAATCAGCAAGAATCATTAAATTTGCAAGAATCGCAATTATATCAGCATAATCAGCATCAGCAAATAACTGCACAAACTGTACAAACTCAAAATGTGCAACACGTATTCGAGCAAAATTTACAAGCAGCCAGTTCAAATATACAACATAATTCTGTAAATATGTTACAACAAAGTTCATGTAATACTATACAGCATGATAGTATGAACGTTTTACAGCAACATTCTAGTATCCAACAAAATACAATCAATGTGATGCAACAAAATACATCTGGTAATGTGCAAAGTATAGAGCAAAATGTACAGACTGGTACAAGTGATATGCCTTTAGGTCAACAGAATGTAATAGCTAGATTACAACAACAAAATACATCTTTATTACACAATACGAATGTGCAACAAAATATGAATGTACAACAGCAAAAGATCGTTTCTGCAAACACATTTTCTTCTGTCAACGCGCATCAGTACGAGTCTCAAAACTCGACTAATGTTATGCAACAGGGTATTAACACGCAACAAAATAATCAACATCAAAATATTCTTATTACCAGTACTCCTGTAGCTACTAACACTCATCAAAGTGAATCGCAAAAAATAGAACCGCAAGCTAGTAATGTGCTCAATTCGGCGACTAATAATATTTTAAACAATGCACCCAAAATTACCCCAGAAATTTTGAATGCATTGAGCAATTTAAATCCGAATGATCAATTATTAATTGCTAATGCGAATGGACAAATGCAAGTAATAAGCCAACAATTCTTGCAACATTTATTAACTGGACAATTGAATGCTACAAATCAGACACAAAATCAAAATCAAACGCAGAAAATAGTCATTGGAGAACCAGATGCGAATAACCAAAATTTACAAGGTGTTCAGATTAATACCCCTACCAGTCAAATAATAGTCAATAGTTCTGGCGGAGCTCCCACAATTCAAAATAATATACAAAATATAGTTGTCCAAGCTGCTCCATCGCAAATGCCACATCATATACAGATTCAAAATTCTGGTTTTCCAAATCAATTCATCGACAATCTAAATCAACAGCAAATAAGGAATTTGGGCAATAATCCACCGAAGAAAGCAAAAATTGTGAAAAGAGCTAAAGTTGCTGTTACCACGCAAAATGTTGGAAATACACAGGTAAATATGAAATATATATATTTCTTTTGTATAATAAATATTATATACCACGAATAATAATCATTTTTCATAATATTTCTTTTTTTTTTTTAAGACGACAAGAACAATTACCATCACTCGGCCAACAAGTGTAACAACAACAAGCACGTCTAATTTGCAAAAAGTTGACAGCATTAATAAAATAGGAAATGTTGTATGCCAGAATACAAATACCAGTAAAAGCGAACCTACACAGATTATCACAAATGGTCCTTTGATATCTTCGTCACCCAGTAGTCACGTGTCTATTCCTTCAAATGGACAAATGGTCCAGAGAGTGCAGACTATACAACTACCTACGAATAAACAACATTCATTAAAAAATATACAATCACAAATACAAACTATTATAACGCGGAAGTTTAGTCAGCCATCGGACTCAGCTAATTTAACAAAATTGTATCAAGAACAACACAAAATCATATCAAGTGGGAAAGTGGTCAGTACTACAACTCATCCTATTAACAATGTAAGTCAATAAGTTTTGGTCAAGAAGTTGAAATCAATTGTTTGAGTTTCCTTATCATATTACATAATTCAATTACAAATATTTAGATAAATATGCTGTAAAATTATATCATATTTTTTAATTATAGGGACCAGAGACAAACTTTAACGTCAATGTTGTGGCAACGCTAGCTACTAATACACAGTCGCAAAATACATATAAAAATCAAACATCATCTGTTCAACCACAAACTCAAACATCTACTGCTACTTTACCAGTAGTAACGTCAAATCTAAATACAACTACATCTACTTCTTTACAAAACAATTCAAATAATAATTATATGAACAATCTTCCGGTAAGATATGATCATTCATCAAATTTTATTAGATCTGTTCAATTTGAAATATTTCTACGCTGCTATCTTTTTTACGTTTTAATGAGATATGAAATAAGAATAAAAAATGGCTAATGGATTTTTATTTTATTTATATTTATATATAAGGATTTTTATATTTTGTATATCCATGAATAAACGCGAGTCTGTAAGTATATGATTAATTGAACGGATTTAATGTTATTATTATAATTATTATTTGAGGAGAAAATATAATAAATGAATAATCATTTTCGTAGGTTACACAAAATGTTCAGGTTCAACAATGTGTAGTATCAAACAACTCTACCCAAAATGTGCATCAGACGCACACCAAACAGCACAAGTTTTATCAAAATCATGGAAATCAGATGATCAATCCGTCCTGTACTAATTTGCAACTGTTCTCACCACCAAGTACCTCCACAGCTCCTATGCAAAATAACGCACAACAGCAATTACCCCTAGTTCAAACACAACAAGTAGGCATGCAACAATCTACGCAATGTCAAACGGATCCATTGGACGTAAAACCAAATATACAAACACCGAGTCCTGTTAAGCAAGAACTTTCCTCGCCAATTCAAATTCAAGTCCAAAGTGGTTCTCCTGCAGGTCAGGTAGCCTCACCTAGAATGATTGGTAAAGGAACTCAAAGGATTCAGAGCCCTGTAAATAATCCTGGAAATTCAAGTAAACAACAACAACAACAACAACAGCAACAACTTGTCAGTCCAGGAAGTGTCTCGAGTCCTTTGATAAGTCCTAGACAAGGTGTGAAAAGGCCAGCATCAAGTCCGATTTGCAGGCAATTCAATCGTAGTGATTTGTGAGTATTTTTATATCTTTACGATGTATTACATTTATTTGATTAACTGAGAAACATTGACACATTAAGTTATACATTATTACATTTGTATTTCTAGATTGGAACAACAATTAAAAATCGATCAAAATGAAGCAAGTAATCCAGATGTAAATACTCCATTTTTAAACAAATATGATGCTTGTAAACGGCTCGTTAGATATCATTGTTTAAATGAACAAGTTTTAAGTACTAAAGATTTAGCTAAAGCGGACGAAATTTTTGAAGAAACGGCTAAACACTTATTGACCAAATTTAATTCTATGATGAATAAATACACATATCTTCTCTTAATGGAAAGTATGGTATGTATTATGATTCAAATAATTTTAATTATCTTTATGGAAAAATTATATATTACTACAAAAAAAAAATAATAATATAATTATAACAATTTACAGAGAGAAGTAAGAACGTCGGAATTAATGATGATAGATAGAACCTTTGTTGCTGAGGAACAAAATAGGCTAAATAGGTTGCGTGAACAGGAGGCCAAAGTTAATGGTAAGAAATATTTCATATGTATAATGATATTTTTCAAATGTATTCTCGTAAAAGAAAAAAAAAGACAAAAATCAATATTGATTTGAATTTGCAGAAGAATTTAAGAAAGAGGAAAAACCACTGGTACCAAAAGTTGAGCCTGGTCTTGTGGAAGATGACAAGCTATCATCGCCTTTAGAAAACGTCTCGGTGAAGCGCGAATTAGAAGATGAATTTTCAACGGAAGAATTAGAATCTAAGCCATTGATAAAACAATCTAGTTGTACAAGTGGTGATTACGATGAGTGGCTTGAAATTCAAAAAGAACTCGGTGTATATCCGTCTGCCACGGACTCTTTTAAATGTAAGAGCACTAATAATAGTGGCAGTAATGGTGCATGTACTGTGGGTATTTCTAAATCATCTAAAAACGAAAGAACAAGGGCTAACGGTGATTGTCGTGTTAATGTTGCAAATACAAGTATTTCCGGAAGTTCGAATACCATTGTAAAGGACAATTGTAGTGATCAAGATAATACTGCTGTTTTTGAAAGACGTTGGAGTAGTGCTACGGACCTCGAAAGAGATTTATTAGAAGACACTGAAAGTTTGGATGGTTTAGCATTACATTCTCAAGCTCAATGTCCAGGCTCTCTTCATGTAAGTAACGAAAGTGGAAACGATAATGAACATGATGACATTACCGCACAGGTACAATCTGCTATTGATAGCATTTTAAATCTTAAAAAACTTCCTACAAACACTTTATCTGGCAATAGTGGTAGTAGTGCATCGCAATCCAGTGAATCAAAGGACACAGTGCTTGATCAAGCAGTCTGTAGCATACTAGGCTCGTGACCCTCCTTTAACAAAGTATGTTAAAAAAGTGAAGTTAATAGTGAACATCAAGCTGATTATTAACCTTCCAAATTTTAGACGAATTTTAGACAAACATTTTCTTCTGTGAGTTTCCGCAATAAGCAGAAGGACTTTCTTTGCTATTGATTCTGTAGGATCACCTTCAAAACGTTTACGTTTTGAAATCTCATTTCTTAAAAGCGTATTTAAGAAAGTAATGTGATTTTAAATTTTGTTTTTATACATGTATATGAACGTATTGTAACAGACAAATTGGATTAAGCAAATATGTGATTCAGTATGATTTTTTAAAAGTTTTTTCATTCAAGCTTATGTTTTACAAAGGCAATAACTACTCATAACAAAAGGATATGTATACTTTACCGTAGTAATGTAGGTGTAATAAAGTAATCGTGTTAATCTAATTCTAGCAGCTGTACATGTGGATAGATATATACATATATATATATATATATATATATATCTATATATATATAGATAGATAGATAGATTACTTGCTCAGATTTTTCAATCTGCCACTTTGTAATGTAATTTTGTAAAAAGTAATTATTTAAAGCAACTATTCCACTTTGTCTGTAGTACTTGTAGGCAAATCTTATAGATACTTAAATATGGGTTGGTGAATTGTACATACGTTTTTAACGTGTATTATTATTAATATTATTATTATTATTATTATTATTATTATTATTATTATTACTATTATTTGTATTATTGTTACTGCGAGATATTTTTTTCCGAAGTACTATTATGATTAATATTATTATTATTATCATTATTATACTGGGTAGACCGCGAGACGTGATGGGTGTGGACAATATTAAGAGGGATTTAAAAAAAAAAAAAGGCTACGAAGACCGTGAATGGAAAGGTCGTGCTCAGGGACGGGAACATTGGCGGAATTTAGTATTTGTGGCAATGAACTTTCGAGTTCCTATCGCCAATTAATAATAATAATAATAATTATCATTATTATACTAATAATTGTGACCGATACTATCGTCTTGGTTGATGGCGAGAGTATTGACTAAAGAGAAGAAGGTAGTGTATTACGAGACTGAAACGAATAATGGTATCGAGCATGGAAGTAAATGAAAATCATGTGTAGAGTGAGAAAAGTACATAAAACGTTTACATTGTTTCTTTTACTTAAACTTATTACTATTTATCATATATACAATTTCAATCTTATAAGATAACAAAAATCAAAAAAATTAAGAGAAACATTTTTTAAATGATTGAAGTATTTTACAACTTTTCTGGCATCACACATAGAGTCACAGTGGATACGAAGAAATGGATGAGGAGAATGTGTGTATAAAGAGAATATATATGTGGTAAAAGGATATGCGTATACATATATATATCTATCTATCTAAGGGTGATCTAAATACATATAGTAAAGAAATATATTATAGCATACATAAGCCTTTATATATAGTTCTTATTTTCTTAACGACAGTGTTGTAAAAGTTTGATTAGTGACAGTAAACATCACAGAAATTTCATAAAATGACATGCTCTAAACCAGCATATAATAATATTTGTTTAATAAATTATAATAGAGCTAATAAGAAGTGCAGTTTTCTATTTTAAAAAAAGAAAATGTTGTTTTTATTATTGAATAATACTTCTATATGTAGAATATCTACATAATTATAGACATATCCTTTTTCCACATGGGCATTGACCACCACTCTTTATATACAAAGATATAATGAGATGATGTTTTTGGCAAATACAATCCAAGACTGACATATATACTACAGAGAAACAAGCAAAACTATATAATGTATTACAATAAGAAATAATCAATAATCATTTGTACATAATAATCATTTCCACTCTCAACGGCAATCGCGACTTAATTCTTCACAGATTTTAAAATTTGGATATGCTACAGTTCTTTTGATCCTAATAAATTGCCGATATTTCACGAATACACATTTGAACCTTTCTCTCCTTATTATAAAATTAAACTCTTTATTTTTAATTATTATTTTTCTTTTAATTTAACATGATCTTTTCTGATATACTATAATATTATTATTATTATTATTATTATTATTATTATTATTATTATTATTATTATTATTGTTNTATTATTATTATTATTATTATTATTATTATTATTATTATTATTGTTATTATTATTATTATTATGTAACAGAGTAAAGTAAACAGATATAATATGCACAAAAATTTTATATGTATGAAAAGAACAAAAATAATAATTGAAAACATATAGCGATAAATTGTATATTTTAAATGATATTTCATATAACGCGGAAAAGAATTGAAAATATTTCAACATCGAAAAAAAATTCATTCGCCACAGAGGTAATTTTATCGTGTAAGTATGCATGCGTGTGTACACTATATATATAGATATGTATAATTGTGTGTATATATATATATTATATATGTGTACAAATATATATTATATATGTGTACAAATATATATTATATATATATATACACACACATATATGTATATCACACCAGGAAGAGAATATTTTCTTCAAAAAAAAAAAAAAAAAAAAAAGAACATTGAAATAATAAAATAATTTGCATAAGTTAAAAATAATTAGCAGGGTCCATAGGAGAATTTCACCATAGGCGGAAGGTATTCATTTTTGCCTTATAAAAACCAAAAGAAAAGCGATATCCATTATTTTTTGTACAAAATATCACTCCTTCTAAGTTGTACATATTTATATAAATACACTGCAATTTTCTTTATATGTAAATACATAAATACTTACGTATACGTACATATTTATATAACAGATAAATTTATACATATTTATATACATATATATATATATATATATATATATGTATATAATGTATATTATATAATATATATGTAATAATATATATGTATGTAACGATTATTGATACTTCTGAAAGAACTGATATAAATTTACTGTACTTACGTAAGTATTTATGTACATACATATAAGTAATGTATATAATATCATTGTATAAAGGCGAACTTCTGTAACTCTAAATACTATGCTGAAAAATGGATGCTGAAAAAAAATAATTGAAATTAATGAGAATAGAGTAAATAAATGTATATTTTATATCTCTACATTTAATGTGTTTAGGAAAAATGTAAATTAGAAACTCTTTTGAGTTAATACGTTATAGAAGTTTGACTATTTTTAATGTAGTAGTAGCATGCTATTTCAAATTTCGCGTGAAATTATTTATTGCATGATTTTTAAATTTCCCTCCCTTTTTTCTTTTAACAGTAATGTTACGGCAACCAATGAGTGTTGGTTTTTCCATTGCATCCATTAATAATCGTATTTCTCTTCAATGCTTTTCTTCACTACGTTATATAAATAGTATTATTATTATTATTTATTACTATTTACTATTAATATGAATATCAATAATAAGTTAATTAAATTTTGTATAGAAATATATTTATTTAAAAAAAAAAAAAAGATGAACACATTTTCTTTGACGTCACTTATATCGAAAGTACACTTCGATCATATGATTCACTTGATGCATGCGCATATATGTTAGTAGGGTGTTTAAGGTGTCAATGAAAGAGATTTAAAAAAAAAAAATTACCTACATGAAAAATAAAAGCTTAAGTATCAAGAATAAATAAATATTATTCATTTTTTTTGGGTCAAAATATTGAAATTTACGTTACATTTATCGATACGTATCCCTTGGTGCGTACCATGCGGCGTGTATGTGTATGTGTACGCGTGTGTATGTGTTTGTGAAATGAATTTCTTCTTCGCTTATACTTAACCTCTGTCGTCGTTGTTGTTGTTGTGTAAATAAAACTGTGGAGTAAACTCAATAAGAATAAAAAATCAGGTTAGTTGGCGTCATCATTTATAAAATCATTTCAGATTGAATAACGAATAAAAGCATGTTTACGTATTGTTTACAATTGATACGATAAGTTATATATAGATTAGATAATTTCAATAATGAATGAAATAATTTGATAAAAATTTATGAAAAAAAAAAGAAGAAAAAATTATAATGGGGGTTGGGATAATTGTTAAGATAATTTTTCAGATAATATATATGGCGGCGGAAGAAATAAATTGTAACACTGCTATAACCTCTTCAGAAGACACGAAACAATCTGTTACTAGTACATCCCAACATGCAGAATCAAATAAAGAGCAGAACGTTATTAGGCCAAATGAACAAACAACTCGTCCCAATAATTTACAAAGAATTCAACAAAGAAAGCAGCAAATGTTTAATTGGCCACAAATCAAAAAGATATTGAAATTAGCAACTTATAGTGCCTGTCAGGTTGTAGATTGTAATTGTACCGGTTGGAAAAATGCTCAACCTTTATTGAGAACACCTAGAAATGAAGTACAACAATCTGTTACCAATTTCTTTGATCCGTGCAAAACTTGTACTCATATTTTAAAAAGTCATATCACTCATTTACCTCAGTCAGAGGAAGAAATTAACAAGCTATTGGGTATGGTGATAGATGCGGATAATTTATTTATGGGAATACATAGAGAAGAAGATCCGGATACAAAAAAAGTATATTTTTATTTATATAAGCTTTTAAGAAAATGCATACTTTCTATGACAAGGCCAACGATAGAAGGTCCTTTAGGTCAACCACCTTTTGAAAGACCTAGTATAGCAAAGGCGGTGATGAACTTTGTTTTGTATAAATTTGGTCATTTATCTCAAAGGGAATGGCAAGCTATGTGCGATATGGCCAAAATGTTTTTACATTGTTTGAATCATTGGAATTTTGAAGCACCTAATACTAGAAAAGCAACGGTCAATAGCGACGAAGCACCAGCTTACAAAATAAACTATACGCGATGGCTTGTTTTTTGTCATGTACCTGCATTTTGTGACTCTTTACCTCATTACGATACACCATTAGTATTTGGTAGAACATTGTTACAAGCTGTTTTTAAACCAGTCTGTAGACAATTAATGGATAAATGTCACAATGAAAGAGACAAAATAACACCCGAAAAGAGAGTTCTCGTCTTGACGCATTTTCCAAAGTATGTATAATATTTTCGTTTAATTACTATATCCTATAATTCATATTTCATTTATTATAT